AAACATGAATGAACCCAGAAGATATATCAAGGGAAATAAGCCAGGCATAGAAAGATAAATACCACACAATCTCAGTTTCATGTGAAATCTATTTGTTAAAGACTAGAAGGTGGATACCTGGAGGAAAGAGTGGGGGGTGTTCAGGAGGGTGGGAGATGTTGGTCAAAGGGTACAAAATTTCAGTTAAATAAGAGTAAGTTCAAGGACCGGGCTCAGTGGCTCAGCTTGTAATCTCGTGCTTTGGGAGGCCGAGGTGAGTGAATTGCCTGAGCCCACAGGTTCGAGATCCACCTGGGCAACTTGGTGAGACCTCATCTCTACAATAAATCAAAAAAATTAGCCAGGCATGGCAGCGTGCACCTGTAGTTCTGGCTACCTGGAAGGCTGAGGCGGAAGGGTCGCTGGAGCCCAGCAAGTCGAGGCTGCGGTGACCGGGAGCAGCCACTGCACTCCAGTCTGGGTGACAGAGTGAGATTCCAACTCAAAAAAAAAAAGTTCTAAAGATCTATTATACAACATGGTGGCCATAGTTAACAATATATAGCATTCTTGAAAATTGCTAAAAGAGTAGATTTTACGAGTCTTCACCACAAAAAAATGTGAAGTCATGCATATGTTAGCTTAATCTAGCCATTCCACAATTATACACATTTCAAAACAAAGTGTTGTACTTAAATAGATATATATAATTTTCATTTATCAACTTAATAAGTTTTAAAATAATAAAGAAAACATTATCTGATCTATGTAATTGTAAAATCTTTAGGTATGGAAGCAGAGATCTGAACTTGAATCATTATAAATGATAGTCAAAAACTCTCACTCAGTTCCCAACCCTTAGCCAGTTCACAGACTTGCATGAGTCCTAGAAAGAAGAGGCTGGGTCTCCTTGAGGAAAACTCTGCAACACTGACATGCGTGTGTAGTGTGACTCTTCTTCCAAGCCTTCTCCCGAAGGAACTATGGCATTACCCCACGGTGACCATTTACGGGGCAAAGGTCAGTGCAAGTTCTTTTTTTCTATTGAAGTAATGTTAGATTTGCAGAAGAGGTGCCAAGATAGAGCACTCCTGTTAACCCGTCACCCAGCTTCCCCTGACATCTCACACACCTTGGTACATTTGTCAAAACAAATTAACATTGAGAGAATACTATTAATTAACTATAGACTTTATTCATGTTTAGCTACTTTTCCCATTAATGTCATTTTTTTTTTTCTACACAGGCCTTTTGGGAAACACTAGACATGGGATCTGAGTTGATCCCATGACCATTCTTTTGCTGGAATATAAATTCCTTGATGGGAAGCAATGTCATGTGGAATACCATGACAATGATAAGACAATCCATAAGTATAGAGCTTGGGAAGCTAACGGAAATGTCACGGGAAGACAAGGCAAATACAATTTCAGAGTTTGTGTCTAATCTAGGGAAGACAAATTTCTGCTCCATCCATGATGGAAGGTGTCCAATACAATCAAATGTCCCCCAGGAGAGGGTCCCCAAGTATCAGCAGCTCAGTGCAAGTCTCCACTGGTGCTGTCTGTTCCATCACAGCATAATAAATGACCCAACTTGGTGTATATAACAACCACCATTTTATTGTGCTTCTAGACTTTGTGGGCGAGGATCTGAAGATTGTCTTTGCTCTGCTCTGCAATGTCCAGGGTCCTGGTTGGGAAGAGTTGATGCTATGGTCTGAATGTTTATATCCCCCACAAAATTCGTATGTTGAATCGTAATCCGACAGGTGATGGTGTTAGAAGATGCAGCCTTGGAGAAGTTATTAGGGCAGAGGGGAGAGCCCTCATGAATGGGATTAGTGCCCTCATAAAAGAGGTCCTAAACTGTCTGAGCATGGTGGCTCTCATCTGTGATCTCAGAACTTTGGGAGGCCAAGATGGGAGGATTGCTCGAGCCCAGGAGTTCGAGACCAGCCTAGGCAACAGAGCAAGACCTTGTCTCTACAAAAAAAAATTAAAAACGAGCTACGCCTAGTGGTGCACACCCGTAGTCCCAGCTACTTGGGAGGCTGAGGCAGGAGGATCACTTGAGTCCAGAAGGCCGAGGCTTCAGTGCGCTATAATCATGCCACTGCACTCCAGTTTGGGTGACAGAGTAAGACCCTGAATTAAAAAAAAAAAAGCAGGTCAGAGATATTCCGATATTCCTCACCACTCTTACCACATGAGGATACCACAAGAAGGCACCATCTACAAGGAACGGAGCCTCAGCAGACATTAATTCTGCCAGCACTCTGACCTTGGGTTTCTAGCCTCCAGAAATGTAGGAAATAAATTTCTGTGATTTATAAGCCACCCAGTCTGGGATGGGAAGCAATGTCATGTGGAATACCATGACATTGTTACAGCAGTTCAAACAGACTAAGACATTTGGATAGCTGGAAAAGTCCCGGTCAGGGCTGGAATCATCTGGAGGTTTCTTTACTCATATTCTGGTGCCTGGAAGAAGATCACCCAAAGGCCGGGCTCAGCTGGGACACGGACCAGAGCACTTACGCATGGCCTCGTTTTGTGGCTTGAATCTCTATGGCCTTGTGTCTGGCTTTGAAGCAAAGAGCAACCTGGAAGGGAATATACGGAGAACAATCATTTCCAGAGAAGTAGGCAGAAGCTGCGTGGCTTCAGGACTTAGCCTTTGAAGTGACTTAGCCTTTGAAGCCATGTAGCATCACTTTTAGCAAGCTCTATTGGTGAAAGTAGTTATAAGCCTACCCAGATTCAAGAGAAGATAGCGTCCCCCCTCAATGGGAGGCGTGTCAAAAAATACAGGGCCCTCTCTTGAAACCATCACGGCAATTCTGCATTCAACCCTAGTGTTATATAAGCTGAGCCTTGGCCAGGGAAATTCCAAGTTGCTGAGCCGTGCCCAGCCTCCATCCCTGCCACCACGTGCCTTGTACAGGGGCCCATCGAGCAAGCACTGGGCAGCTGGGGAAAGGGGCTGACAGATATCCGTGAAACATGCCATCTTACCCATCTCCTCGGCGGGAGATGCCGGTTGGTGAGCATTCACAAGTCATGCAGATCTCCACACTCTGTAGCCACTCCCAGACCCATCCACACCCCTCTTCCCCATGGCTCCTTGGCACCAGTCTTCCGACACTTTTCTTCCCAAGTCACTGGCCACCTGGCCAGACTGCTGGCCTGTCAGCAACCACCCTTGAGGCAGTGTAGATTTGTATGCTGAACGTCTCTTAGTCCAACCAAATGCACCCCCTCAACATCCTGCTCACCAGGAGGGTCTTCCTGCACTGCCATCCTCCGGGGCCACCACTGGGGGGGGGCTGTCGTGCGACAGCTGCCAGCTTTTTGCAGAAGCGCCTGCAGGATCAGGCATGAGAAACCCCCATGCGACCACTGTTTTCTTTCAGTAAATGGAAGACCCTGACCAGTAGGATGCTTTTCTGAGCAGAAGCTTAGGACATATTATTTAAGCATTTCCCCCACTGGACCCTCATAGGCTTAGAGAGGCGCTCACCTGAGTTGGGTGTTCAGTTTCTGTCAGGGACCAGTAGCACGTAAGTTGTTTCTCAAAAGGAAGATGATGATCTACGGAAGGAAGCATGCATTTGCTCTAAAATCCTTGGACTCGGCACTGTGATTCTTCCACTGATTCCACCAGTGTCTCCTGGCATCCCTGTCTGCCACAGACACTTCAGGTGTCACTGCTTTGTTGCGAGACCCAAGCAATAGAGCAGCTCACACTATAGCCTGGCCATGCTTCAGAGCTGCTCTGGCTCTGATACTCCAAACGGGCAGCCTGTGGGTTCCTCAGTAAATCAGTCAAAGTCACACACACAAATGTGGTCTACGTTGGCCCCAATAGCTAAAATTTCCCATGGGCATTGTGCATCTCGTCTTAACGTAAGTAGTACCCGCATCAGCAGCTTTTCTTTTAGTGGGGGCAATATCCTAACATGTTCCAGGTCGCTAAAACTTCACTGAGGTGACAGGATCCTGAATTTTTGTGGAGTTTATCTCCCATTCTTTATCTATCTATCATCTATCCATCCATCCATCCACACACACTGCATACACACACACACAAAACCAGAGGGACCCAAAAAAACCAGAATTATCTTCTAGAGGCAGGCTGCTTGTAGTACAGGCTTCCCTCCACTAGGTGCGTGTTCTAGGAACCCACGGGCATCAGTCACCAGCTAGCATTGTCGTGAGAGGCTGCGTTTTGCTTTAATTTCTTTTTTTTTTTTGGAGATTCTTTCAGTGCATTTGGCCATTTCATGATGGGTGATGTACAAGAGCATCTGCCCATACCATGCTGAGTGTTCAGCAGTCTTTGGCCAAAAACAGCATGACTCTCGTGCCCACACTCCCTATTCACCCAATCTGATCCTGAGTGACTAGTTTCCTGGGATGAAAAAGGTCCTCAAAGGGAAACGTTTTGCTGATGTGGAAGAGGTGAAACAAGATGGCAGAAGCACTAAAAGGCCTCAACCTTAGCTAAATAAGCCTCTATCAACTGAGAACCGCCTCAGTCACTTTTTGGTGCTAATAGCAAAAAACAGAAGCTATTCCAGAGTCTGTATGAACAAAACCCACAAGAAAGTTATAAAAATATTTTATTTAAATGATACCGAAAAAAGTAAGCATACTTAAAAATAATTAAAAGTTCGTGTTAGGAAATGCTTAAAAAAACAGTAATTTGCACAATGACAAAATCTAAAGTAATGGGAAAAAGTAAAATACTGTCGCTTGGTCCTCTCACCTAAAAAAGCCACGATTAAAATGAGACATATAGTAATTACTGGAGTCGGGTTAAAGGCACATGACCACCACAGTCCTCTACACAACATTTTATACAACAAACTGCGATCACTTAAATGGAAAAGTAAGCAACTCATTTAAAATCCGGGAGTGCATTATGAAACCAACTTCTCCAAAGATTCAAACAAATTAACATTACAAAATAGTTATTTCTATACAGTAGACTTCCGAAAAATTCAATAATCACTTGAGTTTAAGAACATGCAAATGAAATGTAATTTATTTCAACTTCAACAACAGATATACAAAGTCACCATTTTTCCCAGGAACTACACACTTGGCAGATGAAAAAACACAGTGTAACTTTTCTGCTGTTTGCGATGCTTTCAGGTCGCTGGATGTTTAATCATTCACTTTAAACTTCCATATCTAGCTGGGTGTGGTGGTGCATGCCTGGAATTCATTTGGGTGGTTGAGGCAGGAGGATTCCTTGAGCCCAGGAGTTCTAGGCCAGCCTAGGCAATATAACAAGACCCTATCTCTAAAAACAAAACAAAACAAAACAAAAATATTTACTTCTTTACATGTACTTAAATCTGAAAGAAAACCAGTATTTATGCTTCAAGTAAAACACTATATCCTAAGATATTGAATTTAACATTAAAAGCATAATCAACCTATCTATGATCTATATAACACTGCCTGACCCTCCATTACCAATTATAAATTCATATCAGCAGTAAGTCAAATGCTCCCAAACAGGCCAAGAGCGGTGGCTCAAGCCTATAATCTCAGGACTTTGGGAGCCCGAGGCGAGAGGATTGCCTGAGCCCAGGGTTCAAGACCAGCCTGGGCAACTTGGCAAAACTTCATCTCTACGATAAATCAAAAAATTAGCCAGGCAGGGCAGCGCACGCCTGTAGTTCCAGCTACTTGGAAGGCTGAGGCGAAAGGATCGCCTGAGCCCAACAGGTCAAGGCTGCGGTGGCCATGAGCGTGCCACTGCACTCCAGCCTTGGTGACAGAGACTCCAACCCCCACAAAAAAGCTCCTAAACATCTGCAAAAACTCAAAGCCCAAGAACCAAAGAAGAGTTAATGACATTAAAAGGGAGGGGTGGGTGGCAGGGCCAGAGGAGGAAATGTTCTGAGCCTGTGCGAGCGCCTCAAGGCCTGAAGCCCTGAGCACGGGACGGAGAGTGTACTGTGAGGAGTTCCTACACTTGGCAATACTGAGACAGCCCATTTCTTTCTCACACAACTACCATGCACTTTCTTTAAAGAGCCACAGGGAGAACATGCTGTGTTAGCTAAAATGTCCACTTTAATTGCCACTCTAATAATTTGGCTTTTATCTCTCTGGGCCTCAGTTTCCATATCCGTAAACCGCTGTAGGAAGATTTACTCCATGTTGTGATATAAGTGACATAAGGCACTATCTCTGTTCTTTTCACCAAGCACAGGGAGCAGGTATTCTCAATGCATAATTACTTCACAAGTCAGTTACCTGACACTGAGAAACAGACCCCACTGTGTAAGGCAGCTGGCCCCAGGATAGGGTGGTCTGTGGAGAGGCAGAAACTCTATGAATCACACAAAAGAAAAAGGCTGATGTGTCAGCTAACAGATTTTTATGAGGCAGCCAAGACATTTAGATGATAGCTGAATTTCTTCCCCTAGTTGGGTAAAATTACCCATTCTTCCCATGTTCCCAGTCCTCAAAAACAATCTAACCAACAGTCACTGGGTATAAGTTGATGGGAGGTGACTTTAATATAAAATAGTCTAATGTGTGAATTTAGCCATCCCATCCTTTGAAAGGCAGAGTGCCTTCCCTAAAAAGTAATCACTTAGAACTCGTCACAAAAGAAAGGCCTCAATCTTTTATCTCAGAGTTCAGTGGATAAACAGTTCAGGTATGAGTGTAACTGAAAATAATTAAGAAGCAATGTGTTATAGCTGCATCTGCTGAAAAGTGTGATGAAAAATGCGTTTCAAATAAGTTCATTATTAGAAAGATCACTGCAGATATCTTACCTTCAAAAATCATCCAAGGAGTGAGATAAACATTACAACTCCCATAAACTGGGTAAACAACAACAGTGGAGTGAAAAATGACCATACATGCCATAAAGCAATGTTGAAGCTGAAAAGAACAATAGAAAAATAAACTGTTGGCAACTATAACTGTAATCCACACAAACATATTTTATTCTAGAATCTAGACTTAAATTAGGGAAAGTTCATCCAGCCAGCAACTTTCTAAATATATTTCTTAGATCTGTGTCTTAGCCAATATTGGAAAGGAAAACTCTGAATACCCTTATGGAACTATCACAATTTCTTCAAAAAGTACTTGGAACTGGAATCACTAAGGGTCTTCTAATGGGAGTTGAAATAGCTTAATAAAAACAAGTCTCTTGCCAGGCACAGTGGCGCATGCCTATAATCCCAGCACTTTGGGAGGCTGAGGTTAGAGGACTGCCTGAGCCCAGGGGTTCACAACCAGCCTGGGCAACTTGGTGAGACCTCATCTCTACAATAAATCAAGAAAAATTAGCTGGGCGTGGTGGTGCATGCCTGCAGTTCCAACTACTTGGAAGGCTGAAGTGGAAGGATCACCTGAGCCCAGCAGGTCGAGGCTGTGGTAGCCATGAATGTGTCACTGCACTCCTGCCTAGGCGACAGAGTGAGTCTGTGACTCAAAACAAAAAACAAGTCCCTTACTATCTGTAATAGAACAAGAATTTATTATTATTATTTTTTTTTAATTAATTTATTTTTTTTGAGTTGGAGTCTCACTCTGTCACCCAGACTGGA